GTGTCATAATATCAAAGAAGGAAGGAGGAACACCAACTCAAAGTCGACGAGACATTGAACCATATCATTCGTAGTTTAGCTAGATCAGTTGGATCAATTGCCTTTCGAGAAATTGCATTGAGGAATGCACATAGCTTCACGGTGGCTAGACGATATTTGGAGGTAGAATTTCTCTTAATGCAACTGGAAGTAATTGCGTCATGAGAACGTGATACTATGGGACTTTAAGTTACTGTAATATCTTCTCTCGCACATTTATAATACCCTTTATATTCGAGGAGAATCCAGATGGTACCTTGATGTTGTTTAAGCATTCAAACATGATTTCCTTCTCCTCTTTGCTTAGAGTGTAGCTAGCGGGACGTAAGTAATGGCGCCCATCATCTGCTCTTCTCCGGATGTAGGTTGTCTCTTTCTCTCAAACAACGCAGTTCTCCTGCCGTGCTTCAAATGTGTCCTTAGGCTTTCCATACACACCCATAAAGCCTAGCAGGTTCACACAAAGATTCTTCGTCAGTGCATCACGTCGATCGAAGCTACGGACCTCCAGGACTTGCCAATAGGGTAGGTCCCAAAATATGGACTTCTTCTTCCACATGGGTGCGTGACCGTTAGCATCTTTTGGAATAGGTTGGCTTCCATGTCCTTTTCCAAAGATGACTTTCACATCATTGACCATATCGAGTACATCCTCACCGGTTCGGTTGCAAGGCTTGGTCAGGTGGTCCGCCTTCCCTTTAAAATGCTTGCCTTTCTTTTTACGGGTGATTTGCGGGAAGAAATCGACGATGGCCAAGGTACACGACCTTTCGACATTTTTTTCAAGAATACACCTCTAATATCACCAAGCAAAGTGTGTGCATGCATTATATCCCTTGTTTGACTGTCTCCGAAAGATTACTTAGAGCAGGCCAATCATTGATTGTTACGAACAACAATGCTCGCAGATCAAAGTGTTCTGCTTGTACTCATCCCACACACGTACACCTTCTTTATTCCACAAAATGAGAAGTTCGTCAATAAGTGGTCTCGTGTACACATCGATGTCATTGCCAAAGTTGCTTCGGGCCTTGGATGAGCACAGCATCATAATGAACTTCCGCTTCATGCATAACCAAGGAGGAATGTTGTAGATACTTAGAGTAATGTGCCAAGTGCTATGACTACTGTTCGCTCTCCAAAAGGATTGATACCATCTGTATTTTAAAGCAAACCTTAAGTTTCTTGCGCCATTTGCAAACTCGGAATTCTCTCGTCGATTGCTCTCCACCGGGACCCATCGCCAGGGTGTCTCAACATATTGTCTACCTTACGGTCTTCTTTGTGCCATCGCAACAATTTTGCATGTTCTTTGTTTTCGACAGACGCTTCAAGCGTGGTATTATAGGAGCATACCACATAAACTTGGCAGGGATTTTCTTCATGGACGCTCGCCTCAACATCATCACTGGTCATCTCGCACCGATCTTATATCATGACGCATGACATACCGGGCATGCATCCAATTTCTCGTACTCTTTTGCCATTTGTGACAGATGCGCTCATTAGGACATGCATGTATCTTCTCTATTTCTAGCCCCATAGGATGGATAACTTGTTTTGCTTCAGAGGTAGTGGCGGGCAATTCATTGTCCTTCGGAAGCATCTTCTTTTGAATTTTTAGTAACTCTCCAAATCCCTTGTCGATACACCATTCTTTGCCTTCCATTGCAGCAATTTAGTGTGGTTCCCAACTTTTGTGCCCTCGCATCACAAGTTGGGTACAACAATTTCTTGTGATCTTCTAGCATCCGCTTTCGAACTTGATCTTCTCCTTTTCACTTTCACATTCTCTTTGTGCGTCACTTAATGACCCGAGAAAGATCATCACCGGCTCATCTTCTCGCGGCTACCTCTTCTTCACCTTCTCCCATTGTAGTATCATTGAAGCACGCACCATCGGGAATAATATCATTGTCGCCCCATTGTTCTTCTTCACCTTCTTCCATTACAACACCGGTTTCTCCGTGCTTTGTCCAACAAATATAGTTTGGCATGAAACCCGACTTGAACAAGTGTGAATGAAGAGTCCTTGAGCAAGGATATTCCACCGTATTCTTACATATGGCACATGGGCAAGACATGAAACCATCGCGTTTGTTTGCCTCGGCCAAGACGTAATAAAGAATGCACGCCGTCAATGAACTCTTGGGAGCGGCGATCAAGATTATACATCCAATGACGGCTCATCTCGCATTACATGACATAAATACCATATTAAAACCTAGATCATAATTAATTATTTATACAACATGCGTGCCACCACAAAAGATACAAATTTATGAAACATCGCTACAATGTAGACAATCCCAACTACCACTAAAAGAACTAAAGCTAAAATACATTTCAAAGAGTGAGGATTTCACGACCAATCTCAACTAAAATGCATAAATCCCCGGGACAGCAACATCTTTGGGCTTCTTCGGCTGGATCACCGCCTCATTAGCCGTCAGATTCGCTCACAGCAAGATATTTTTGCACGAAGTTCAACATACTCTTCCTCCCAAAGAGAAGCCCGAACATCGCCCACCGCCATCCCAATGAAATTAAAACAAAAAATTAGAACTTTAATCACAACCATCATGAAAATAGGTATAAACTAACCATAATCATTAAATACGATAAAATAACTCACATTGCGATCCGGACACTTGTAGAAGATACGATCCTTGTTTGGACCCTCCTTCTTCACTCGGTACTCCATCACAATCTTCGTCTCATCACGACACTTGCCACATGGAATGAGAGGGAGGCCCGGCCTAAGTCGCTTTGGAAACCCATGAGAGGCCGAGGACCCGGAAGAAGCGGTTGCCATCTACTCTATACTCATTTTTAATACACTATAAATTTCTCCTTTTATAAACAAATAAAATTAAGAAACTATAAAATTATCTAGATCTCTAAACAATGATATTTTTAATGGTCATTGTGTTCTCGTCTTTTATCGCGGCAGTTAAGTAATTCACATGATATTTCCGCAAATTAATGTAAGAATGGGAGTGTACACACATAATGATCATCATGACGATATCGGGACGTGTGAATAAATAACCATCCATACTAGTTGACCTTGCTTACGTGATCATCTCGGCGAGCATTTCTCCACCGGACGGCACCGTGATTTTGGCCACGGAAGAGCTCCAATTCCACGAGGAAGGAACACGGTCTTCCACGACCGCTGCCGCCTCCCTCAGAGAATCAAAGCTCCTCCTTGACGTCCGCTACCACTGGCAGAGAACGTGTTTCGCCGAGATGAACACGGTCCGCAAGTTGAACTAGTATGGATTTTCTATAATTTTCTAACTATTTTCTAAGTTTATATTTATATATATACTACGCTTGGGTACAAGTGATTGATGTATCATCGCGATTTATATCAGGACATGTGAATAAATAACCATCAGTATTAGTTGATTTTGTTACGTGATCATCTCGGCGAGCATTTCTCCACCGGACGGCACCGTGCTTGGCCACGGAAGAGCTCCAATTCTACGAGGAAGGAACACGGTCTTCCACGACCGCTGTCGCTATCCCTCGAGAATCAAAGCTCCTCCTTGACGTCCGTTATCATTCGGCAGAGAACGTGCTCACCGAGATGAACACGGTCCGCAAGTTCAACTAGCTACTTTAACCTTATTTCATGTAAATATGCAAGCTTGAAGTGATTTTGAGCTCAAATTGCTTACAAATGAAAAAAACCACAATAAAGAACCATATATATATATAGTGAACAAAATGAGATAAGACAATGGTGAAAAATGAGAGTATGAGATTGGTAACCTTTACAACTGAAGAATCGACGGAGGAATTGAAGAAATCGACGGAGGAATCGAATAATGGATGGAGGAACAATGGAGGGAGGGAGGAAGCAAGAACACTAGTGCAGTGAGCTTCAAAATGTGCTGAGCTCGGGCTCGGGGAGGAAGAAGGAGACGACCGGGATATAAAGGGGGACCTTTAGTCCCGGTTGGTGGCTCCAACCAGGACTAAAAGTAACTTTCCAACCCCGGGCGCAGCCATGGCCCGGGAGTAGACCTTTACTCCCGGTTGGAGCCACCAACCGGGAGTAAAAGTATACCTTTAGTCCCGGTTGGTGGCTCCAACCGGGACTAAAGGTCCCTGCCACCTCTGTCTGGCGCAGAGTCGTTAGTAGGGACCTTTAGTCCCGGTTGGAGACACCAACCGGGACTAAAGGTATTTCTAATCCCGGGCGCAAAAAATTCCAGGACTAGAGCCTATTTTGGCCGAGGATCAAAGGCCTGTTCTCTACTAGTGACCTGCATGGGCAACTCCCTTATGAAGTAGGCTATGCCAAGGAGCTCAGATATTTGAATCTTTCGTCAAATATGCTGTTTGGAGACATTCCAACCAATATAGGTAATTGTGAAAACTTGCAATACATTGGGTTGCAACAGAATAGTTTCGGAGGAAGCATACCCGTTTCACTAGGCAACATAAGGGGTCTAGAAGTTCTGGACTTGTCTCACAATAATTTGACCGGGTCAATACCGATGTCCCTCACAAACCTCCAATACCTTGAGCAACTAGATTTGTCATTCAACAACATCAGCGGTCAGGTCCCATTAAAAGGGATATTCAGTAATGTGACTGCTGTGAGGATTGATGGAAATCCAGGGCTTTGTGGTGGGCCATTGGAGCTACACCTACTCGCATGCCATGTCATGCCTGCTAATTCAAGTAAGCAGAGGCATTCCATTGTACAAAAAGTAGTGATCCCATTATCTTGCATTTTGTCCATTGCTATAGTCATAACTGTAATGGTTGTCTGGAGAGGAAAACAAAAGACAAATATGTTATCTTTGCCCTCATTCAGTAGCAAATTTCCCAAAGTTTCATACAACGATCTCGCTAGAGCAACATGCGGGTTCTCATCATCCAATTTGATTGGCTAAGGAAGATATTCTTCCGTGTATAAAGGAGAACTCTTCCAAGACCAAACCATGGTTGCTGTCAAAGTTTTTCGCCTAGAGACATGGGGGGCACAAAAGAGCTTAATTGCAGAATGTAATGCTCTACGAAAGGTGCGGCACCGAAATCTAGTTCCTATACTCACTGCATGCTCTAGTATTGATTCCAATGGAAATGATTTCAAAGCCTTAGTCTATGAGTTCATGACACAAGGTGACTTGCATGAGCTACTGTACTCGACTCAATGTGATGGGAACACATCAACTCGAAGCCACATCACAATGGCTCAAAGGTTAAGTATTGCAGTGGATGTCGCAGATGCATTGGAGTATCTCCACCATGGCAACCAAGGAACTATTGTCCATTGTGATCTGAAGCCTAGCAACATTCTTTTGGATGACAATATGACAGCACATGTTGGAGACTTTGGTCTTGCAAGGTTAAAGTTTGACTCTGCAGCATCGTCATCCACTTATTTAATGTCGTCTTCTCTCGCTATTATGGGAACCATAGGGTATATTCCTCCAGGTAATCCAAGTTTCATGCAGCGTAATGTTTTCATGTACTTTTATCATTGGAGTAAACAATTCTTTTGTGCAATCTGCAGAGTGTGCTGCAGGCAGAGCTGTTTCGAGTGCTGGGGATGTTTACAGCTTCGGGATTGTTCTACTTGAAATATTTTTGCGAAGGAGGCCAACGGATGATATGTTCAATGGTGAGATGAACATTACAAAATTTGTTGAGATGAACTTTCCTGACAGGATACCACAAATAATAGATCCTGAACTACTAGTAGAGCAACAACATTTATGTCCACAAACTCGAGTGGCCATGAAGGAGAAAAGCTTGGAGTGTTTGCTTTCAGTCCTAAACATTGGGCTTCTCAGCACCAAGCCGTCTCCTTAATGAGCGATCTGCATGCAGGAAGTCACTGCAAGGTTGCACGGAATCAAGAAAGCATATATATCATAGTCAAAACTGAGGTAACACTAGCAACGTCCGTTATACTTTGATATCGTATACTTCAAAATTTGTTCTAGTTTGTTCAAAAAAAATGTTCTAGTTGAGTAGTTGTATTTTACTGTTCCTATTTTCGTCTTGCAGGATGAATATCTTTTACCCTAGTGTCTAAGGCTGACACAACAAAAGCCTATCTCTATGTACCATAACGTCAGTTTAAATAAAAGTGTATTTTTCTTCAGGTTTCGTTCGACTCAAGCACTCCCCATCTTCACTGCACGACACAGTAGCATGTAATCTTCAGAGTGGATACATAATTCTAGCACAAGAGAGAGTATTCAATTTCACCGAGCATGCATAGTCTTGAATTTTCTCATGTTTGATTTCTGAAAAGAAGGGATTTCTTTTTCAGAGACGGGTTTAAGGTAGTGTTAGTGTCGACTAAAGTAGTGGCGTTGAAGCATGGACAATTTATTGGTAAAAGCTATTAGTGCAGAGGCTTGTTTCACTTTTCTTCAGCAAATTTTTGTAATAAGTAAGTGATCCATATTTGTGGCACGGTTAATGACAATGCGAGTGTTTGGCATTCTCGTTTGTGTCTTGTTAACTTTGGTTTGATGTTATGATTGTCCATCATGAGTTTAATTCTAGATTTCACTATTGTCAAAAGTTCTAAGTGCCATAGTTGGGTGCAATCAAAGCAACCTGGAAAGCCTCACAAGGTAGAGGGGAGAGAAATTTGGCACCTCTAGAGCTAATACATTTTGATATATGCGAGATGAATAGGGAAAAAGGTGGAAAGAGATATTTCATGACTTCAATTGATGATACAACTAGATTTGCAATGTTTACTTGGTCAGATCTAAGGATGAAACACTATACTACTATAAATTCTATATGTCTAAAGTTGAGACTAACTAGAGAGGAAGATTAAGCGTCTAAAGATGGATCATGGTGGTGAGTATTTTCCCAGATTGTTTGATGGATTCTAAGCAACACGACATTATTCATGAAAGGAAGCCTCCCTAATCGTGTGAATCAAACAGGATTGCCCAGAGGAAAAGTCGCACGCTGAATGACTTGGTGAACGCCATATTAGACACTGCTAGTTTCTAAGGCATGGTGGGGGAGGCTTTATTGACTATGAGTCATGTCCTGAATAGAATTCCAAATAGAAATAAAGGGACAACCCCATATGAGGATTGGGTTGGAAGGAAACCGTCACTTTCATACTTGCGTACATGGGGATGTTTGGCGAAAGTCAACGTACCAATTTCTAAGATGCGCAAGCTTGGACCCAAGGCTGTGGATGGCCTTTCTAGGATATGCTCAATAGAGCATTGCCTATAGGTTTTTAGTGGTAAAATCTGAAGTTCCTGATATGCATGTTGATACAATTATGGAATCTCATGATGTTATATTTTTAGAATATATTTCGTACGAAAGACGATATGCATAGAAATTCTAGATTTTCTTCTAAGATAGCTTGACATTTTACTACACCTATCAAGTCTCCTGTTGAGTCATTTGAGCATCCACATGAGGAAGTCCTTGAGAAGAATGCCAATGGAGCTCCTGTGAGGAGCAAGAGACAAGGATTACAAAGTCTTTTGGTGATGATTTCATTGTGTACCTTGTGGGCCATACTCCCTTGTCTATTTCAAAGGCATATGCATGGTCCAAATGTTGATGATTGGAAAGAAGTTGTCCGTAATGAGATGGACTCGATCCTTTCTAATGTGACATGGGAATTAACTGAGTTACCCTATTGTTGTAAACCTGCGGGCTGTAAGTGGGTGTTCAAAAGGAAGCTTAGGCCTAATGGTACTATTGACAAGTACAAGGCTCGGCTTACGGCTAAGAGTTATACCCAGAAGCAAGGCAACGATTTCTTTAATACTTATTCACATGTTGCTAGAATGACCACTATTCAAGTGCTACTTCCCTAGCTGCCTCATATGGTCTTCTCGTTCATCAAATGGATGTGAATAGAACCTACCTGAGATGGATGAGGAAATATATATGGATCAGCTTGATGGGCTTGTAGTACAAGAAGAAGAGCGCTAAGGTGTGTAGGTTACTGAAATCTTTGTATGGCTTGAAACAAGCAGCCAAGCAATTGCATAAGAAGTATGATGAACTTTAACCTTTGCCGGCTTTTACCATTAATAAGGCTAATAAATGTGTGTATTATCGCCATGGTGGAGGCATACTGTTACACTATGTTTGCATCTTGATGATATTCTGATTTTTGGCACAAACATTGATGCAATCAATAAGGTAAAGTCTTTTCTCTCAAAGAGTTTTTACCTAAAAGATCTAGGAGAACCTGATGTGATTCTAAACATCAAGCTTATTGAGGATGAGAGTAAGATTACTTTGTTGTAATCTCAATATGTTCGTAAGATCTTAAGCCAGTTCGGGTATATGGATAGCAAACCTTCTCCAACACATTATGATCCCAATGTAACATTGAGAAGAACAAGAGGATAGTGTACGGAAATGGGTATGCTACACTAGCAGATCTACCATGTTCAACCAAGATAACGACATGCAAGTAGAGGATCATCGATCGTTACCACTAGACGACAAAGATAGCCGAGTTGCAAAGGCAGCCAACGTCACGCATCATTGTAGTGGAAGTAGTCATACATCCTCACATACCAAAGAGTAATAACACGTCCGTCGCTTCTCATGTTCGATGTCGATCGATGTCAAGAAGAACATCAGCAGTGTCTCCAAAGTATCCACACTCACTACTACACTATTTTTTACCGATGCGGCCAAAAGGGGTTAACCAAGGGTGGCAAGCCATCCGCCTCGGAGTGAAGGTCACGGTTAATGTGGCCTTAACCGAGGCGGTTTCTTGCCCGCCTCGGTTAATCAGTTAAAAAACAAAAAAAATAACTGAGCCTACCGGTGAGCCCATTCTCGAGTCCATCGATGAGCTTGTTCCCAGCCCATGGGGCGGAACCGCCGGGAGGAGCCGTCGTCGCCAGATCTACGCTGTCGTGGAGGAGGGAGGGGAGGAGGCCAGGCCACGCGCTGGATCTGCCGCTGGTGGGCACCATCACGTCGGATCCACCCCGGGAGGTGTCCTCCTCGCCAAATCTATGCCGTCGTGGAGGAGGGAGGGGAGGAGGCTGGGCCGCTCGCCGGATCCACCACTGGGGGGCACCATGCCGCCAGATCCACCGTCGGAGGCGTCCTCCCCGCCGGATCTACGCCGCGAAGGAGGAGGGAGGGGAGGAGGCCAGGGCACAGCCGAATCTGCCTCCCCGCCACCGGATCTAGCAGCCGCACTGTCGGATCCATCCTAGTCGGGCGTGGATCCGCCACCGGTAAGTGGGCCCGCCTTAGATCCGGCCACCACGTAGCTGGAGGAGGATATGGGGGAGGAGGGTGCGCCGCTGCTAGTGGAGGAGCTCAGGGGAGGAAGGAGCCACCGCTAGGAGAGGAAGGAACCCGCCGCAGCCTCAGTCGGGCCCGCGACCGCGCCCGCGACCGCGCCCGCGACCGCGCCTAGAAGTGGGCCCGCCATAGATCCGGCCACTCGCTGTGCCTCCTTTGTTGAAGGAGGGGCCATGCCTATCGCGCCATGCCCATCGCCGGAGGAGGTGCCACGCCCACCGCGCCGCGCCATCGCCGGAGGAGGGGCCACGCCCCAGGCTGTGGAGAGCGAGAGGGAGAGGGAGGCCAGAGTGGATAGGGAGAGGAAGAGGGTGGCTGGAGTGGTGTCATGAGGGAGAGGGTGGTCATAGTGGTGTCGCGAGGGAGAGGCAGTCGTGACTCGCGACGGAGACACCGAGAGAAGGAGTTGCGACTTCACGAGGGGCGCGTGCGGCCGGGTGAGGGAGAGAGTGAGGGCTTAGGGTTTCATTCTCTGAATATATATACTATGACGCAGTGTCAGGCCAAGATGGGCCGAGGTGGATTTTGGGAGGGCTTAGCTATATTAACTGAGGCGGTCCTAATAAAAAGGCCCGCCTCTGAAAATAGGGGTGTTTTTGGAGGCCCAGGTGGAAGTTCAACTTAACCGTCTCTGCTGAAACATTAGTATATCAAACAGTAGCGAGAACATGCAAATCTCTAATTGGGCATTTGTGATCTAGTGGTGGATTGTTGGAATATATATGGGCTTGGCCCAAATAGAATTCTGAAATTTCCATGAAGAAATCTCAAAGGCCCATTCATGTGTGCAAAGGGGGAAGTGGGAACTCTTTAGTTCCACCTTGCCCGTGGAATTGGAGGTAGCCATGCTTAAATATGGAAGTCCTCTCCACTCCCTCAAGTCTACTATGAGGAGAAAGGAAGCCCACACGCGCTCACTCGCTCACCTCCCCTCGCCGGGCCTAGCAAAGGGCGTGCGGCGCCTACGTGAATGGTCCGCCGAAATCCTGCCCATGGCCTTGCAGGGGTGCAACCTCTTTTTGCAGATTTAGTTTTTGGTTACTTGGCCTTTAAGTTTTTATGGATAGGAGGCCTAAATGGTTTAGATCACGATCATGACACCAGATCGTGTTAGACAACCTATATAAACAGCCTATCAGCCAGCGCCAAGACGCATCTAATCGAGGTAGGGTTTTTGCCTCTTCTCACTGCTGTGCCGCCGTCGTAGCTCCATCCCGAGCATCTGCGTGCACCGGTGATCGAGAGAGTAGGTGTCCGGAACCTTTGTTCTTGTGATCTTGCAACAGGAGAGGAAAAATGAAGTTTATGGGAAGCGTTGTTCGCGCGCCTGCTCCTGACCTCCATGACGGGTCATCTTCCATTCAAGTTAGGCGGCGCTGCGTCCTGTCGCGTTCGTCATTGTCAGCTGCTCCGAGCACATCCTCCACCACTCACAAGGAACGACTTTATACCACTACCAGCAACGACATCTCCCTCTACAGACGAAAGGTACACACACCACAGTCCAATATGTTATTGTCGTTTGCCTGCTGTTT